CTCCACAGTAGGACAGACGGGGGATGCTTAAACCTAAACAAATCCTCTTCCCTCCACAGCAAATGTCAGTCCCTCCAAACCAACCGTGTTTGTTGATGGCCCCCTTTGCTCAGTCTCTAGAGCTGGTAAAGACTTCTGGGGGAGAACGAAATCACACATACCCAAATGTTTCATTTTAATGACAAAAAAAAAGTAAAAAAAAAAAAAAACAGAAAAGAAAAAAGTAATGCTTCACCAGAATGACTTTTATTTTTTTTAAATTTTAAGCAATTTACTAAAATCTGAAATAAAATCCCCAAATAAGAACTTCTGAGGTCTAAATGAATCATTCTCCAATTACTAAATGGTATCAGCCCCTTCTAAAACAGCTTTCAAGAGCACTTCTTATTAAAAAAAATAATTGGCCCGCTACAAGCTGGGGAAAAAAAAAAAGTTTTGAAATATCACAAGTCCTCCTGGAAAACAGGAGTATTTTCCTCTCTGATTGCAACTTATGTCCTGGTGGCCAAGGAGTCCCCATAACAACAAGGAGAGATCCCAGAGCAGGAGGCGGCTGGTGCCAAGGGGCTGTAACCTCCCTTAAGGACACCTTGTGCGTGTTCGACAATTCATCCCAGAATTAGACAGGAGCTACGTGAAGATGAAATGAGGCAGCACAGCTAAAATCTAGACGTGGCAGCCACAACAGAGCACGGAACAGGTCCCTTCTACACCCAGCAAGGTCAGCATATTCCTCCTTTATAAAATATTGCCTCTCCCTGTATGGGTACTGCTGCTCTTCTGCCCCAAATATCCATTCTTTTGGCAGCTGGGGTGTTAAGCACAACCCGTACAGGGCAGAGAACACATGTGGTCACCACGTGCACGTGGATCAGTGCTTGTACATGTCTGCTCTGGAGCCTGTGCTGGGCCAGGCAGGGATGGTGAGCGCTCATTTGGCAGCAGAAGGGTTTATCCATCCTCTGGGGGCAAAGAGCATCCCCTGTCTCTGCCCCTCTGTGTATGAGGGAGAAAGGAGGTAGAGGAGGGTAATAGTTTGGGTATGAACGGAGACAGAAGAAACTCGCCGGGGTTTGGAGGGGCAGCCAGATGCTGGATGCCATCTTTGGACACCGCTGCATCTGCCACAGGAGGAAGCTGCAATTCACCTCAGGCTTGGAGAAAACTTTGCTCTGCTCTCATCCCTCTCTGCAGCCCCCAGTTCAAGCTGGTGACATTGCCCCGACCTTGCGACCAGGCACCGAGTGCCTCCGTGCCAGCTATTAGCTTTTCAGCCTAGTTCCTCCCCCTCCCGCTCCCACCCCGGCCCCTCACCCTCCCCTGGAGACCCATGCAGCAACCGAGCGCCACATTTTCAATTTACACCAACTAAATGATTCATCGCCGCCTAAAGAGGCCTGAACAGAGCCCAGGAGGGGAGCTGAGCTGTAGGAGAGAAAGGGAGGGGGGGGGACAAGATCGGGGCTAAAGATACAGGGATGAAAAGCTCCGGTGACCTGTTCTATATCGGCTCTCCTCTTCTCAGGGCAGAAGCCAATCAATCTCCCCCCCCCCCGCCTTTCTCCTGCAGCCGTCTGTGGGTCTGTCTGTCTCTTTCTCTCTCAGCGGACTCGAGTTTCTCGGTGTAAGGTTAGGACAGTGGAGCCGTGGAAATCGATTCCTGAGCCCTGGCACACTGCCCTGCCTGCAGACAGCCCAGCTCCACCGTGAGATGACGGATGGAGAGCTGTCCCCAGGCATCCCCAAGACCTCTCACGTGCTGGGAGCTGAGGGTGGCTTGGAAATGGGGGTCTGGGGAAAAGGGTCTGCATCAGCCCTTGAAGGGCAAATCCCAAAATAAGGGAGACTCACATGGGAGAGACAAAAAGATAGATGCTATACCCCATCGGGCCATTTTCACCTGTCTGCCAGTGTTCCTCTTGATGGTTTAAACTGGAGGAGAAAGGTAAGTGAAAGGCATGGCTTTGCCCACAGGCAATCTGGTTTCCAGGACCACTCTGCCTCAGGTCTTTGACAGCCTGGTTGCCTCTCCCATCCCTTCCACAAAACAGCTCCCACATCAGCACGGATGGATTTATACTGAAAGAGGGGAGATTTAGATTAGGTATTAAGAAGAAATTCTTTACTCTAAGGGTGGTTAGACACTGGTCCAGGTTTCCCACAGAAGCTGTGGCTGCCCCATCCCTGGAGGTGTTCAAGGCCAGGCTGGATGGGGCTTGGAGCCACCTGGTCTAGTGGAAGGTGTCCCTGCCCATGGCAGAGGGGTTGGAACTGGGTGATCTTTAAGGTCCCTTCCAAGTCGGACCATTCTATGATTCAGCTGTGCACCGCAAAGCCCCTGGGATCCCTGACTGGGAGGGAAGAGAGGGGGATTAGCACTCACGAGGGGAAATCCTTATGGCACATTTCCCCAGAGATCCTCATGCAGGAGTTGTTGACGATGCATCCCACATGAGGAAAAGTGAATCTTAAGGGGTTCTGATGTGCAAAAAATGCTAATGAGGGACTCAGCATTATGGCACTCTGACCCTGGATATTCTGCACAGCCAGACCTTATTGAATGGGATGTAATTGGCTCCTTTGCTCTCAGGGCTACCTAAAGGAAGAGGAAACTGAGACCGGACAGGAACACCTGAGGTTGTACTGAAGACCCCTGCCAAACTAGCACTGGAAATCAATTTTTTTTTTTACTGCAGTGGAAACTAGGGGAAAGGAACAGACTGGAGTGCGATTTGGTAACATATGACTTCCAACTGCTTTAAAAAAAATCCATGGGGAGTTAATTTCAGTGACCCTGCTGCAATGTACGTAAATAAGAGGTGCCTCTTTTTCAGATAAGCAACAGAGGTTAAATGACTACAGGGAGGAGGGCACGGGGATCCTGCTGTCAACCAGGTTCAGACCGCAAGGCCAAACTTGTCCTTGAAGGACTGAGTTTGTACAGGGGTTTCATGTTCTAATCGAGTCGATACTGCCACCCTCACTCGCCAACAGCCATCACATTTCTGACTCCTTCACAATGAGCTGCTGCAGCCACATCTGCTCCTTTTCTCTCCTTTTGGGGATTTCTTGCTGGATGTATTGATGGCTTGTTGCCACTGACCATGGATGGCAGGAGATTAAATATCGAGGATTGTTGTGGTACAATCAATGACCAAATTGATGCTTTCCTATACTGCTTGCACATGGTCCGTGCTATCCCTCCACTGACAGCAAAACAAACAGTGCTTTTTAGGATGGATACAGGATAAGATGAGATAGAATCATACTATAAAGCTGTATATCAACTGGAAATATCCTCAGGTCAGCAGGGTGAACATTTCATGGTTTCACACCTACTAGATCATAACTCAGAACTGGTTTGCCAAGGATCCCTTGAACTATTCCAGAGCCTGAGTCACACTTTTTGACAAGTTTTAGGATAGTTCACCTAGATCTGATGTGAAATTAAGCACACTGTTGTGGCTTTGGATGAGGGTCACACAAGCTAAAGATCATCCGCAGAAGGTTGGAATATGATGCAGATTTGTTCCCTTTTCTTCTGTTCCTAAAAGGAGAGGTAGCAAAGAGGATTGCTTCAACTGGATCACTGTCTCCACCAGGATAGTTTTCAATGCAACAGGAAGAATTCAGAGGTGAACTCAGCAGGAGAGGACAGACACTGCAATAGCAGGGTCCATCAGAAAAACCCTCCATCGTTGCCAAGGACACTGTGAGACTTGGAGTGACAGCACCCTGCAGAGCCACACTCAGCTGGAGATGTTTGGTTAGACAGATCCAATGCATTTTCCAACCACTGTCTCTGCTGAGAGCTTCTTGGCAAATGAGACCACCCTGCCACTCATAGCCAGGAGCTCAGCCAACCTGACACCTCCCTCTCCACAGCTTTGGCAGAGGGGTCTCTGCAGGAGGAGATCACTGGCAGTGATGGCTACAGCAAGGAAACTTCAAGATCAATAGCATCATTAAAAAGCCAATAAACTAATGTCCCAGTCCTGAGAACACCTGGATCCACTGTTCCTTCCAAGCCACGGGATGAAGCAGTACTGTTAAATAATGAAATTGTGAGCTGAGGTCCCTTCTTGGCCTGTTATACACAAGTCCAGGGGTGTGGATACAGAAAAATTTGCTCAGCATCCTGGCCAGATAAGCCAAATGAGCAGTTTGGTTTATTTGTGCCCATTTGGCCCAGTTGAGTTGACCCACAGAGGACAAACACTCAACTTCAGGGTCGACATTTTCCCATGCTAATCACACAAACCATAAGGTCCTCTTGAAATCTAACTTGGAGTGGACCTCATGATGCTCACAGGGACCTGTTTCCTCTCTAAGGGCAATGGAGACCGTGACAAGTCTGAAAGAGGAGAGGTTCAGGTCAGCAGTGGAAAGTTTGAGGCGCTGAGACAAGTGTCTGAGCCGGGCTGATAGTCAGAACCAAACTGACTTACACAATGGAAATGAGAAGGCAATTGTCACCCAGAGAAGAGCTGTTGGAGAGTTTGAGTCAAAGCGCATCAGGGTGGACAGATGCTTTCCTGGTGCAGTCAGCAGATTGTGGATCAGGCGGCTGAGGAGATCTGACCAGTGTCTACCCCCCTTCTCTTCCATTGTCATCCAAAAAATACTTCTTAGTTAAACAAAGTCTCCCCCAACAAATCCTAGAGACCTTGTCATCCAAAAAATGCTTCTCGGTTAAACAAAGTCTCCCCCAAGTCCTAAAGACTTTGTCATCCAAAAAATGCTTCTTGGTTAAACAAAGTCTCCCCCAACAAGTCCTAGAGACCTTGTCATCCAACAAATGCTTCTTGGTTAAACAAAGTCTCCTCCAACAAGTTCTACCTCGCTGGACATGTCTGCATGAGTCGTTGGCTCACCTGCCTCAGCCAGAGACGGAGACAGCATTTTGCATCTCTGCCATGTCATGTCATCACAGACATTGAGAGAAGATGGCTGGGGGGAAAGCAGAGCTGGGACAGTGGAAAACACCAGCAGGTACTTACGTGTTGTGAAGAACACACCATCCACAGTGAGGGTCGCCTGAGCCCAAGCACTCGCTGCAGGTCTCGTACTGGCTACACGACTCCACGGGCACCCGAGTAAGCTGCAGGAGGAAAGGGGACAACCTGTCAGGCTTTACACAGGGCTCTGCAATGCCCATAATGACTTGACGGAGGTGCCACCCTCCCTGTCCTCTTCCTCTGCTGCCTGTCCTCCCAGAAAGACATTCCTGCAGACCTCGGCACGCCTGGGGCAGACAGAGGGATGTGGCTGCAGACTGCCCCAGAGTTCAACCTGGTGCAATCCCTGCCCAGATCAGGACTCAACTTGGTGCAATCCCTTTTGAGATGAGCACCTCCCCTGTGGCCTTCCCCTCTTCCCCACGGCCTTTCACACTTCATTGCCAGATGACCTCTCTTGCACAGCTTCACAGGGAATCAGCAAATCAGGCAGGCTGTGTGCAGACTGTGGTGACCTGGTACCTTGAGGCAATTAAACAACACATGATCTTCTGAAGCAAATTAAACTCACTGGATTTCAACACTCTCCTCCGCTGTGGTTGTGGATCCTGTTGCTTTCTGGATTCCTGTGAGAACTGAGCTCTCATGATGTCTTTGTCTCCCTCCCACGACCTCCCCCATCCCCACAAGTCCCAGGAGAGAGTTATCTCCACTCCCCATTGCCCATGCATCTTTCTAACTAACAGTTGTCCCATCCCCGGAGAGGTTTGCCCCAGCAGGAAAAGGACAAAGGCTGCCAGCCTGGGTATTGGATGAGCTTGCTGTCACCCTGACTTTGCAAATCAGAAGGCATTAGAGGTGGACCCGAAACATCTGCCAAAATGCTGCATTTTATTATTTTTTCTTTCTTTCTTTCTTTCTTTCTTCCTTCCTTCCTTCCTTCCTTCCTTCCTTCCTTCCTTTCTTTCTTCCTTTTTAATCAAAGTATTTCAGCCAGAGATTTCCAAGACAGAAGACACTCCCTGATGTCCTGTCTAACAGACCAGAGCCTTTTGATTCCTATTAGGTTGTGTAATCCCCTTACTCCTTTGGAAGACAAACATACAATTTGGGCCCAATGACCTGATAGTCTCTTTTCCATTGAATAAGCTTCAGAGAGCTTCTATAATATACAGTCAATTGACAGTGCCTTCACCCCAGCTCGTGTCAGCAGGGAGAGTTTAGTCCTTCAGATGATATAGCGCGGTATTATCCTGATGAAACACCACTGAGAACTGCCAACAATAAACCGCAGAACAGTTACTCGTGACAAATGACGAAGGAATACACCTGGATTCTAGTGACAATTTTTTACTTGGTGCAACATTCAAGAGAGTTTTGAGCTGTGAAGTGGGAGATTAAGTTTTATTCTGATCGCATCTGTAAATGAACCAAGAGCTGGCTTTTATATATAGGTATATATCAGATAAAATTCCAGCTATTTATGAAGACCGTTTCTGTTTGTATCAGAAATTCTCTTCCTAAACCCTATACAGACACCCCACGTGGTAGTATATAGTGTATGAGCAAAAGCTAAAAATCTGTATTTTTACCTCTGGCAGGTGGAAGTAGCTTTAGAAAGCTTTGGATAGCAGTATGATGGGGTTTATTTACCATTGCATCATTGCCTGTGTCAAGTCACCCAAACAAACCAACTGTGGCTACTGAAAGATTTTCTTGAAAAAGGGAGAATATAAGGGGAAAAAAAAACACACAAAGCCACCTTTCTCATATTGAATCTATTGTCATGAGCGTAAGAACATAATCAGGACAGACAACAGAGCAACAAAAATGAGAAGATCAAAACAGGGAGAAAATTATTCAAAATTCTGTAAGTATCAGGAAGTTTCAAAGGTAAGATGCCTTGGCCATGAATGCAATTGTTCCACCTTCCTTAAGCTTCAGGTCAAGAAGGTATCAACTGTTCATCAAATATAAGTTGTATGCTCCAGGATTTCACCCAACTAGACTTATGTTGAATCTAATAGTCATCGTTCTATTCAACTTGCAAAAAGACATACAATTTTTCACAAGAAAACATCAAGGGGTGGAGACCTTATAATTTCCTATGTTGGCCATCCCCACCTGTTCTTCCCACCTGAGAAAAATATATTGTGAATTATTTTTCCTTGATTATATCTAGCTGGACCATGCCTGCACTGTGAACATCAGAGAACTTGCAGAAAAGGCAGATAATTCAGCTTTGAAAGACTGTAAATCGGCCCTTCCTCAATCCAGATGCAATTGATTGTGTAATCTCCACCTTGTAATTAGAAATTTGTGAACACAGTTGGGATTAGCTATGCAGTTCCTATCCAAGCTACCCTCAGTTTAACATATGGTGCAGCTCAATTTATCTTCATGAGCTGTAGATAGTTTTTCTGAACCTCAGTTTCTGAGCTAGTTTACATCTGTCTTATAGAAGTGAGCCTTGGTTAAGTTTAGGTCAGAATATGCACTTTTCCGACATCTAGTGATGTTGAGTCTGAATGTTCTGGGTCAAATCCACTTGTGACTATGATATATGTACAGGAAAGGAGTCCTAGAGGACTGAAATTTGCTATTTCTCTGCAAATTGCTACAAAAAGAGTTGAGAAAAAGTGGTCTCTGTAGGTTGTAGTGGTGTTGTTGTTATTACTATTATTATTTAATTAGCTGTCAAAGGATATCCAAGCTGCAGTCAGAGGCAGAAGGAACCTACTGGGAATCCAGATACTCATCACTGCAGACATGCTTCCTTCTCAGTATATTTAGGGTACTCATTCTTATAGGATATAGTTTGTATGTTGTGTAGGAGCACACCTTAATTGTGTCACTGTCCCAGAGAGCACAGCTATGCAGTAGGAGCTTTCACCAAGCCACATGCCACATGTGTGTCACCACTCACATTGTTACGTGTTATTCCTGATATGAGACCTTTTACGAGTTCACCTCAAGTAGCTTTATTGCTAGATTAATTAAAGTTGCACCACGCTGGTAAATGTCTTGGGCTGTAAGTGTCAGACCTTCTAATTAATAAAGAAAGAAACTACAAAAAACAAAGGAGCTGCAACTGAAAGGAAAGCCACCTAGGGGTCGTCAGCTGAAAAGAAAAAGAACATCAAGCAAATAAGGCACATCAGAGGTCTTATTTTCCTTTGGAACATAAGCTGTAATTAATTCAGCTCAGCTTTCCAAGTTGAAAGTTTTGAGAACTGACCGTGCCCCCTGGGAGCAGTCAGCTTTTTATGCTGCCCCTAAAATATCTGAAAAAGAAAAGTCCATGCAACCTCCCAATTACAGTGCCTTGCCATTATTCACAACGACGAAGGGCCTAGACAGCTCTGAAGGTTGAAATCTCCATTGTAAACCAGACTGTGATTACTCCTTCCACCCCTTCTCCATCCTTGGAAAGTCTAACAAACTTGTCAAGGTCATTTCCCAACCTTGGTGAGGCTCCCTACCAGGAGTCTTCCATCGGGGTGGAACCTGGAGTCACCATTGTGCATCAAATATATAACCAGGATTTCAGCAGACAGAGGATAAACAAAAGCAAGGTGTCCTTCATTTTGGGGCACCGTGAGCCAGGTTAGAGTCATTTATATTCCTGCAGTGGTCACAGCTTAACTGGTATTTTGTCCTCACTCTGCTCGAGCAATATATGGATGTAAGAAGAGACTGCTGTTGTTTTAAGGGCTTAAATCCCACATTTGATGAAGCACGTGCCCCGATTTTATCAATGAAAGCTGAGGCTGAAAGTGAGGTCTCCTGCAGCTGAAGTAGGTGCTATCTAAATGTCTTTGAAGATGTGGGCTTAAGAGATCTGAGCAAGTTCACGCAAGAAGCCCAAGAGAGAGCTAATTTTTGAACAATGAGTTATTAAGTACAACATATTTAGACTTTGGATTCTTTGAAATATTGAAGAAATGAAGGTAAGGTTCCTATGGATCCCTATCCACACACCTGATGGCCATCTAGGAGGTGCTATGCTTCCAAGGCTCTGTCCATAGCAGACCAGAGGGACAGAAGATCTCTGATCATCTCTGAGGTAGGCAGCATTTCCAAAGCAGCCAGCCCACCACTGGATTTCCATGATGACTACTGTGCAGTGGGCAGTGTGAAAGACCCAGGACCCCCACCACTAGCACCGTGCTTGAATAAGGGAGACCAAAGTGTCACGACCTGTATCCCTCAGGCAGCATCACCATCTCAACCATCCCCTACTCACAGCCGTCCAAGGTGAGACGCAATCCCCAAGCCAGGGTTAGACAAGCGGTAAGTGAATTTGATGTCCTTCTCAAGGGCAGCAAGAAAATGATGAGCGGGTCCAGCTGCCGTAGCTGCAGCAGGATTTGAAAAGATATTTCACTTCATCAACACGTTCATTCACAGGTCCCCGAAGAAATCATTCATGAGTTTCTGGCTCACAAGGACATCTTGAAAAATCTGGCAAAATCTGCAAACTGCCGTACAGTTCCGAGCTCACCTGCTACATACGACTTCAGGGCTTTTCACACAGCATCAGGGCTGTCCTCACCTCTGATCCAGCCTAAATTGCAAACTGCAGCTTCTCCAGATCCCAGCCTCACTTCCACCCTCTATTTCTAGTATGAATGAGTTACAGAAAGTCATTTAAAACAAAATGATTGAGGTTTTTGGATCTGATAGACAGTAACAGCTAATCCTGTTAGAAATTTGGCTCCCACTTCTGCCATTATATATTCACAAAAGCTCCTGCTATGTGCTCAGTCATAATTTTCTGGCTCCCATTTTTGACTTTCTTATTTCAATATACATTACTTTTTTTTTTTCCCCTTAAACTGCCAACATTCTGGTCAAAACGTGAATCATTGCTCAATCTCTGCTGTTATAATTGGATGTTAATACAGCAGCGGGATTTATTCAGTCTGATGGACTAAGTTAATTTAAATGTACAAAAAGGCATCTTAAGTAGCCAATTTCCTTCCTGACAGTCAAAAGATACATTTCCAAAACACTGAACAGTGACTCTGTCAAGCCATGTGGGTTCTGTGAATGCCGCTATCTTTCAAGACTCAGCCAGCCCCGAAAAACTGCAGAAAGATTAAGAGAGGAGCTTATTTGATTTCAAAGCCTTGAATAGAGT